AAACACACCGGTAAAGTCACTGACCACAATCACTTAAGCAAACACACTAATAAAGTCACTGACACTTGTAGAAACACACCATAAATTTTGTTAAAACACCCCCATAATTATTAAAAAATATTTATTAATGCACATTAAACACTAGTAGTAGCACAGTAGGTACACTAATATATCCGTATATGCATGCAGGAAAAACACCGGTAAAGTCACTGACACTTGTTGAATCACACCATAAATTTTATTAATACACCCGCGTATTTATTAAAAAATATTTGTTAAAGCAGACTAAACGCTAGTAGTATCACACCAGGTAACCCATAGACAAGCACAGTATCGGATAAGTGAACCCTTGACTCGTACCGGTAAGTGTTGACAGGTCCCATCCGACCTCCTCGACTTCCAAAACAAAACTGAGCAGCGGCGACCTCTTCAAGTGCAAGTGCGATTGGTAGTTTACAGTAGCCAATTAGGTGTCATGTAATCCACCAATAGCGTGCCACCACCCTCATTGGCTGTCATATAATTATTCTAACATTAATTTTGTTATAATTTTATATTTTTCAATTGTTTATTAACAAATTTATTATTGTAATTATTTAAATTTGTTGTTATCTTAACTTTTTTGCGGGGGTATGTTATAAAATGGTTTTTAAGTATTATTTTGTAATTTTTAATGTTATAATTATTAAATTTTTGGAATGTTTTTTTGTTAAACAATTATATTTGTTATGTTATATTCGTTCAAATTTATGACGTTGCAACTGTTATGTGTTGATGTTTTACAAAATAATTGTTGATTGATTTTTTGTTCGTTTTTAGTTAATTTATTGTTTAGTTAAGTTATTATTTAAACAAATTTATTAAAATTTATTATTTTCATAACTTTCTGGCATAAAATATTTATTATTATATGAAGTTAATTTTATTCTCATTTAAGATTTTTTTATTTGCATACCAATTATTTGTTGTAATTATTAAAATTTATTTTTTTTGTCATTTTATCGTCTTACTTTTCTTGCAAAATATCTATTAACTATAATATTAAATTTTTTTATCATAATTTTTAATTTGCAATTATTTATTAACCTATTACTACCTTTATTACTATTTATTAACTTTATCACTTTAATTTTCATTTTTTTATTGATCATTAAGTTATGTTACCTATCCTTATATCTCTTTGAGCTTCCACATTTGGCTTCCATTTGATGCTATAATTAATTCTATCATTTTAATAACTACAGAGGAGTTGCAATGAGGGGTGTAAGAATAAAACACTAAAATCAGAGAAAATTTAGTTCAAGTTTATACAGAATTAGAGTCCACAGAGTCTTCATACAGAGTCATCGTTTGTCGGAGTTCATAGTACATATCAGAGTACAGTGTTATACAATATAAGTATACAAAATATAATCATGTTAAACCACTGTTTCCTTCACATGCAGATCACTTGCTTCCCGCACAAAAAACCACACGACCTACGAAAGTTACATTCTTGAAATGAGTGCCACAGTTGCATGGTGTCCGCACTCTGTGTTAAACATTTACAAATGTTCACATTATCAACTGACAGATCTCTTATTTTCCAAACGAGAAGATCAAATTACGGCATCTCCGTAAGAAACTAGCGTAGCTACTTCGCAGTTCGGATTAAGGTGGTACACGAGGATAATGAAATTTCTATCATTCTATCTATAAGAACAATTAGAATTCTCTTCGTGTTAATTATGTAAAAGTTTCTCTAAAACTGTGCAGATTGCATGAGACACAGTGCGTCGTGTTGCAGCTGATTAATGGACGAAGAACACTCACAGCAATTTGTAAAGTCAACATTTCGAAGTTCAGAAAATAGCTGCTACAGTAACCGTTCGCTAGATGCGTGTATTCTAACTCTAAACCAGTTTCTTCTAGAAGTGTTCATTTATCGAACGGCCATTATGCGGGCACGCGAATGGTTACTGTACGGAATATGTGAAAGACACTTCGTTACGTTATTATTAAACAGAGCGCACGATGCTATGACGGATTTCACATTTACGTTGTGATTAAGAATTTATATCATCCGTTCAGATACAGTTAGGTTAAGAAACAACTATAAGGCAAAAATTTTTAACATGTAGGATATACATAAAGCTGTAATTTATCAAGTCACTCAAATTGTTTAGACAAAGAAATATTGTACTTGGACAATTTAATATCACAAGTGGCCCAGGTCGTTTCATATCTGAATGGATAATACAATTCTTTATTTGCTAGGAAATTAATTATGACTTTCGGTCATGTAAAGGACACTTAAACGGTACAATTAGCGAATCCTGCTTTGTAAAAACAATTACAACTTTCATATTACGGTCGGTAATCGAGTACTCGTTTGTGGACGCAATAGGATCATCGTCCTTTCCGCATTTCCAAACGTTTTAGCCACTTGAAGGACACTTCGAAAGCGATTCAATGTGAATACCATTGATTAAGTAAGGTTAGTAATTTACAATCCACTGGAGAACGCTAGTGTCACTTCCGCCAGTGGAGATTAATCGTGTGTCATCCTGCAGGAAGGACACGTTCGTGACGTGACTGGAATGACCCCCATAAGCATGGCACAACGACTGGAATAAAACAATTCATTTATTTTCATCAGGTATTGCTTTCACTTCTTATATAGGGTGTCTGCAATGTATATAACAAGAATGATACTCAGATTTTGTTGATATTTGTTCAAGAGTATTGTAGCTACCTTCGGTTGACAAGCAGGATAAGAGAACAGCTTGACTTTTCCAAAATCATCCCCAGTTGCTAGCAGTTTCCCATCATTGCTGCGGGTACAATTGTTCACGTCTGTTCCATCTGCACCTTCAGGCCAGATTCCAATGGTCTCAAAGGATATAACGCAGGTGTGACTTGCCCATTCTATGTCTCTCATCACTGAGGACTGAGGTATCTGACGACAAACTCCTGGATTCCCTATATAATCATAGAACATTATAATTAATTGAAATTTTATTTTATTAAATTAGTCTAATCAAAGGTAATTTAATTTTGTATTGAAGATTTTTGTAAATTAGTAATTTGAAAAGTTTACGTACAGTATAACAATTCATAGTCTCCACTATTGCTACGTAAGTATTGTCCATCGACTGACCAATCCAGGTGAGTTATAAAACTGGAATGTCCCTGAAATAAATAATTATCTTTAGAACAAGTATTCTATCAAATGTTACATTCATAAAAATGAGAAATTAGTAGTTTCCTTTGAAGCAGTTTGGAATAAAGCAAATCTGCAATTACTATGACAAAAACAGTGTCAATATTTTGTGCATACAGTGAGTAGTGCATAACTGGAGGTAAGCAGTTTTTATGCAATAATTGCTATTCCTACGTGACTATGATTGGCTAGAATGATATTGTACTACTTTCAGAGACATTACATTTTTAACTATACACTTTAGAGAGCCTTATTGATATGTTACAAGTTGCATTTCTACTTTAACTGTTAATTGGACCTGTTTTGCACTACAGCTGAAGGAAAATGATTTATAACAAATCAGTGACAATAACAGTAAACAGTTCAAGAAACAATAAATAGGTTACATATTATTACATTAATACATATACTGAATGTAAAAATCATGTCACTGAAATTTAATGAAGTTATGTATCAGTACAATGTTTAATAGCAATAATTTATTGCATAACATAATGTCTCCTTTTCATTTTTGTATAATTAAAACCCATGTCTTACTCCACGTCTGCGCATCCGCTTTAGCTAAAAATGAAGAAAAATTATGTGAAATTTGTGAGTTTTAGTACTTTCATATAATATAGCAAGCTGTTACTATTAACAGTGATTTTATGAAGACGTTGATTACATCAAAAGGTACTTTTATTGACAGAAAATTTATTTATACAAAATGTTTATACAGTATACTTGTTGCACGCAAAATTGTTTCATCACCTGAAGCAATACTGTTGATTGATTGTCATTAGAAAAGTTTTATGTACAATCCTTCATGATACACACAAGCAAACTGTACAGCATACTAATATTGATTAACAAATACAGGCAACACTAGGATTCATGAATTGTTTTTTATATAAAACAATATGATGGAAACTAAAAAGTATAACAGAAGCATGTTTTTTAAATACTTGTTTACCAGCACATATATGCTGAATAAAAAGTGTGGTTATAAAATGATAGTTTATACAATGTGTAAAATAATTAGATATACAAGAGATACTTTGAAAAGTCTGGACTGTAATTATTATAAGAATCAGATATGAAACTTTAACACATTTTCTAATTTCATGCTCTTGTTGATACACATATATTTATGACTTTTCTTTGAACCTACAGTTTCTCTAGCAGTCTAGAAAGTAATGTTTAGAGTATAAAATATTCTTACCATACATCTCCCAACTCTGCTGTACTTGGTTGCATCTTCATTTCCCTGGTAAATGTAAATGTAGTTGTCTCTGGAACCAAGTGCCAGCAATGTACCGTCTGGGGAAAATTGGACAACCTGTGACATGTACAAAAATATTAATTAGTTTACTGCGTTATAAGTTTATTAAACTTTGCAATAGGTTTACCTGAATAGGTTCTGTTCCATCACTATGGTGAGTGTACAATTCCCTAGTTTCACTGTCGATAGCCAGCCACTTGCCAGAGGTGCACCCAACCACCATCACATTACCATCAGGTGAAAACCCAATACTCTGTGCCTGTTCCTGAATAAAGAATTGTAGAGGTGAGATACTTCACATTAAAATTTTGTAAGATTTCTAGATTTAAATATATACTAACCCCAATATCCTTGCTCCAGACAACAGTATGGCTAAGACTGTCCCACATCTGTAGCAGCCTATCATGTCCAGCCGTCGCAAACTGTGGCAGAGTAGGATGTGCAGCGAGTCCCCAAACTTCCTCAGCGTGTCCCAACATGGCTGGGTTGAATCCCATACCTACATCACCCAGCAAGATGCAATTTCTTGTGGTGCCGATCAGCAGCTGTGAGCCTCTGCCTTCTGCCAGCGTTCGGATTCCACCGAAGTGATCTTCAATCTGAAGCAACAAAATTGAGATATTCAACGAGGACTTTAAGCTAGAAGATGCCTGTTAAACTTACCTGCGCTTCTTCTCCCGTCAAGTTTAAGGATTCATCGAAGTACAGTATTTTGCCGTCTCTACCGCCGCCGGTGACGATGAAACCGTCTTTGAGGACGCAGATTGAGAATATGGATCCTTCGTGGATGTTTCTTACTATTTTTGATACTGTGCTGGTACCTGGATGAGTATAGTTATAGTGAGGCGTGTAGATGTGGAGATATGGGGATGTGGGATGTGAAGATTGGGGATGTGGAGATGTGAGGATATGGGGATGTAAGGATATGGGGATGTGGAGGTTGGGGATGTGGAGATGTGGAGATGTGAGGATATGGGGATGTGAGGATGTGGAGGTGTGAGGATATGGGGATGTGAGGATGTGGACATGTGAGAATGTGGAGATGTGAGGATATGGGGATGTGAGGATGTGGACATGTGAGGATATGGGGATGTGAGGATGTGGACATATGAGGATGTGGAGATGTGAGGATATGGGGATGTGACGATTTGGGGATATGGGGATATCACATGTGAGGATATGGGCATGTGAAGATTTGGAGATGTGGGGATTTGAGGACATGGTGGTTTGGAGATGTAGGGATCTGGAAGAGTGGAATATGGGAATATAGATCACCATATATGGTGGTAGATCTGGAGATCTTAATTTCTGGGGATGTACATCTGGAGATGTAGAGATCCAAAGATATGAAGATTCAGAGCGTCTAGAGAGAATGTATAAATTTGAAAATATGAAGATCTGAAGATGTGGACATCTGGCCATATGAGGACATAGGGAAGTGCAGATGTAGACATCTGATGATGTGAGGATACAAAAGGATGTGAACACAATATCTCATCCATATCAAAATCCCTTACCTCTCCCCCACACGATGATGTTACCGTTGCTATCACCCGTAAGTACATCGCCATTTTGATTGAAGGCCACGCAGGTGAAGTATCTTGGTTTCTCTCTACTTTCCAAGATACCCATCCGCTTATACAACACGTCCCCGTTATCGAGAGTCCAGAAAGACACGTGTCCCTTGCCGCAGGATACGATGTGGTTCCGTTCCAGCGGATGCCACTCGGCGCATACCACCATGTCGACGGAGCATTGCTGCAAACAACAGCTATTCAACGATCCAGTTTTACATGTTCAAATCACCCAGGTATAACATACTCGCAAGATGAAACTAGTTTACTTCGTTTGCGGAACATTTCATCACTTTGATCATCAAATGCCTTGATCAAATGTTTCATCATCTTAATCATCAAATGTTTCATCATCTTGATCAACAAATATTTCATCACTATCGTTACAAAACATTTGACCATTCAAAATAAATATAGTTCAGCAAATAAATTATTGTTTCATCCGCAGTTGAACAATCGTCCAGGTTAATTAAGGACGTACCTTAGTCTCGATCACCTTGGTGCCCCGCTCTCCCTTCTGCCAGTCCCAAATGGAGATATTGTGATCAGGTGTCTCGTCGATCGCGCACAAATAATTTCCACCGTCCGCTTTCGAGAACGAGAGACAGCAAATGGAACCGTCGAACTCTCCGTTGCCGATCACACACAGGGTGGTCAGACTGACCGAGTTCCATATTCTTATATGGGGCTGAACAACGATACCATATTAATCTGAAGAACTTCATAGCTTTACCGGTTGAGATGCATGTTTCGTTGATACCTATAGTGTCTTACCATCGCTTCTCGCCTGTCGGTTCCACACACTTGGCCGGTGGCTACCACTAACTTATTCGGGTGAATCGCTATGCTGAAATACACGAAGACATGATGCTAATGATGTGATGTAGACACAAGATATGAAGATGCAAACGTAAGATGTAGAACATAATGTGACAGTACAAGTTTGAGTGTACATGTCCAGATATAGCAAGGTCGTAAAATTCCTCACACATAGAGGTATGATTTAACAAATTGACCTTAACATACTTAAAATATACTTCAAATTACTACCGTTATCAGAAAGTGTTCATGTATATTTAATAATGAAGTGTACATTGAAATAAGAATGACGTGTGATCTTCAAGAAGTAAATTTCGTACCACTTGATGTCGTCCGTATGGCCCAGATAATGCCTCTGGCTGTGCTCCTCCATATTGTACAAGACCACCACAGCCGCGACGAAATAAACGATTTCTCCGGTTGGCAGGAGATGCAAATTACTTCGACAGTCCCTGCCCCGGTAACCGTACACCCAGTCGAGTTTCAGTTTGCTTTGGGGCGGTGTGCTGACTTTGTGAAGGTCGTAGGACTCCATTAATGGTGTCGGAACGTAGAGGACGACGGGTCGTCCCCGCAGGTACATACGAACGGTGCTTTCCTCCTCGTTATACTGCATGTCTCTCGTACTGTGAATTATAAAGATTACGTCTGATCCTTCTTATTACCTTTAAAATTCCTTTTTATGAAATATTTTCAAGAGATTGATGCTAGAGATGCCTACTTTGCAGATTTGTACAAATTACCCTGAGGATAGACTTATGGTTCAAGTCTGAACAGTGGAATACTGATTTTTGACGCTCTGCCACGCCCATAAGCCCCGGACGCAGGGGAATATCAAGCTTCTAGGTCGTACGATCGTCTCGAAAAGATTGATGCTGAAGAGCTTGGCTTACTTTTCAAATTTGTACAAAATACTTCAACGATAGTGTTATAGTTCAAGTCTAAACAGTGGAATACTGATTTCGTGACGCTTTGCCACGCCCATAAGCCCCGGGCGCAGGGGAATATCAAGCTTCTAGGTCGTACGATCGTCTCGAAAAGATTGATGCTGAAGAGCTTGGCTTACTTTTCAAATCTGTACAAAATACTTTAACTTATAGTTCAAGTCTGAACAGTAAAACACTGATATAGTGACGCTCCGCCACGCCCACAGACCCCCGGGCGCAGGGAAATATCGACCTCCCGCGTCGCACAATCTGCGATTCTCCTCATCTCTCTTTGAAAAACTAAAAACTTTAAAGCAAACCGCACTGCAAATAAACGCACCTTAACTTTCTACACCTACCCAGCGTTGAATAACTGTTAAGACGAAATAAATGGCGACTAATGTCAATTAAGTTAGAGAACATATGTTTAATTTCCTGTATCGCAGTCTCATTCACAGTATTCGTTTCAATGAACCATTATAAAAATAGAAATCGTACAGGCTAATCTTTCTGCTTTCACCGCATTACATCTGACAGCGCTTTAAAGCCAACACGTGTTAACACGTTTATCAACATCTGCGGTCTTTCTACTAGGATCTACTGTATCTACTCTAAACTGTTTACGATGCATGAACAAACAGGTATTTGCACTTATCGGCACCGATAGCGGCTCAGTCCAGACAGGAACGATATTGCACGATTCCGAATAATCACCTCACTGATTGTAATTGCAGAAATTTCCGTGACGATATACTTACTCTGGAAACCGACACAGAATGAATGAGTCACGCGAGCACAGGTTCGTTTTTATTACTCAACCGAGAGAATTTTTGCGTTGCAGCATTACGTCACTTCGGTACGTTCCCTTAGGGAGTGTTCATATCGAACGAGCCAAGGCTGAGGTGAAAATTGTATTAGCCTCTAGGGAATCTAGGGCATCTAGGGAAATAAGTGTTATACAAATTATTTTTCCAAATTTCTAGCTTCAAAATATTTATGACTTAATTCCTGAACACAGCAATTTAGATCCATGAGTTTGTCAGTCCCCAAATTTGGGCCGTAATTTGGGCCTCAAATTTTTAGATTGCCTAAAGATTTGCATGCCTAGATATATTCTTAGATCCACAAGTTTCTATGCTTTTAGACTCTTAACCTAAACTCTAGTTATCTGAAGTCCCAAAGTCTCAAACTTCCAAATTACCACGGTCCCAAACTCGCAAAGTCTCAAGGCCCAAAAGTTCCAAAGTCCCAAACTTCTCAAACTTCAAACTTTCGAAGTCCCAATCCTCCAGATTCGAAATTTCCAAAATATGAAGCTTCCAAACCCCCATAAGTCTCATAAGTCCCAAAAGTCCCAAAAGTCTCAAGGGTCCAAACTTCTCATACTTCAAACTTTCGACGTCCCAATCCTCAAAAATTGGAAATTTCCAAAATATGAAGCTTCCAAAATCCCATAAGTCCCATAAGTCCCATAAGTCCCATAAGTCCCAAAAGTCCCATGAATCCCAAAAGTCCCAAAGTCCCAAACTTCTCAAACTCAAAACTGCCAGCCTCCCAACCTCTCAAACCGCGAACTCCCAGTCTCCCAAAGATTCAAACACATATAAAATGGCGGTCCACAAGAGTCCCCTTAAATACGGGGCCCGTGAAGGTCTCCCTACTTCCCTGTCGTCCTTCCTCCAAAGTTCAGTACCAATAATCTCGATTCGGCACGGTTTCGATCATTAGCCACGATAAATTTCAATGTCAATGCGGTGTTAAACCCTGACACGAACATTGTTACGAAAGTTCCCGAAGTTAATCGAAGAAACAAGGAAACACGCCGAACGAAAGATAACCGTGCAGTGAGTTTGAAACTAGAGAAACGATACTGGGTATCGTATCGCGATGGCATGCTGTTAATTACTATAACAAAAGTTACCTTTGGTATTCGACCTCGCATGCGATGTAGCGAGAGATTCCTGAATTCGATGAACACACCCGCCTCCGCGGAGGCGAATCAAGAAAGGCGTGCATGCATGATGGATTCGCGCGCCGAGCGTGAAACGTCCATTTTAATTTTAAATGGCGCACGCTCGTTTACGATTAGATCTAGGGGACATTCGTATTTTAATGGACGAATTGATGCGGAAACGAAAGTGGCCATATATGGAGTACCATTCTTTCTTACGAGTTTTGATAATATTTTATGTGTTCGCTGTTCACGGTTGTTTCTGTACATTTAGGGCGAAGTCTTTAATTGTGACTCTCGTTATATTGCCGCATTCGGTATCTATGTATACTCTTGCGAATTGCCTCAATGTGACAAAACTATTATTATAAAAAATTATTGTAGCTTGTGACTGTAACTTTTAACTGTAACTTGTAACTGCGCGAACGGCAATATAGCGAGAGTCCACTGTAATACTAATATCTCATCGCGTCTCGAGTCGGCGCGTGAAGCTGACGCGTTTAAAAGAGGTATGGCTTCAATTTACAAATTTTGAGCTCTATTTCAAGATAGAATTTCTTTTACTTTGGTCAACCACGCGCCATCTCATGAGTTGGCAACAGTACGCGTCCTAAAACCTCCCACTCGAACCTAACCGAAAGAACACGTATCTCCGCGCAGTAACAAACAGTCCCCCATCAAAACGAGATTAAAAGAATGCTAGGACATCTTTATTTACCCGTGTTTCACGTTGTTCATCGCCGGAGGCTTGAAGAGGTTGAACAGTGACTTGGTGGACGCTGATAATCTATAATGAACGAAAATGCAAACGAAAACCATACGGTGCAAAACGAATAAAAACAGAAACGAAGAAAAGATTAAGAACAAAGACATATACAGATTGCGACGAACGTGTTGCCTTTTTTTTAAGCGGATTTTACGCGTTCTTCACGGCGAGGGAATTATGCACTTCCGGCCCTGTTCTCTCGATTCAGTTGGTTTCAAAGGGAAGTTCAACGGGCAGTAAATGGAAACCAATCTGGAGACAGCGCCGCTTTTGAGGATTAATGAGCCGTAAAGTGAATTCACGTCGCGAAACATAATCGATAGTTCGTTGCTCTGCGAGACTCTGTTGATCGGCAGGTGTCGTTTACCTACGGTCACTCACTGGAAAAATTTTAGTCTGCGTTTAATCACGTGAGATTTTACACGAAATTCTTTTATGGTCCTCAAGACAAATACCGCTATACAGGGTGTTTCAAAAAAAAGTCCCTCTCGAATGACAGGTATCTTCACATTTTTAGATTTGCAAACCTATAAGTGGATCTGTTTTTGGTCATTCAAAGATGATTTTATAAGAATAATAACTTTTTTCGTTCTCAAAACGTCATACAAATATAAAAGTTGATGTACAGGACGTTTCAAAAGAAGTCTCTCTCGAATGACAGGTATTTTAACATTTTCAGATTTGCAAACCTATAAGTGAATCTGTTTCTGGTTATTCAAGGATGATTTTATAGAAATAATAGCTTTCTTCGTTCTCAAAACGTCATACAAAGATAAAAGTTGATGTACAGGACGTTTCAAAAGAAGTCTCTCTCGAATGACAGGTATTTTAACATTTTTAGATTTGCAAACCTATAAGTGGATCTCTTTTTGATTATTCAAGGATGATTTTATAGGAATAATAACTTTCTTCGTTCTCAAAACGTCATACAAATATAAAAGTCGATGTACAGGACGTTTCAAAAGAAGTCTCTCTCGAATGACAGGTATCTTAACATTTTTAGATTTGCAAACTTATAAGTGGATCTGTTTTTGGTCATTCAAGGATGATTTTATAGGAATAATAACTTTCTTCGTTCTCAAAACGTCATACAAATATAAAAGTCGATGTACAGGACGTTTCAAAAGAAGTCTCTCTCGAATGACAGGTATTTTAACATTTTTAGATTTGCAAACCTATAAGTGGATCTGTTTTTGGTCCTTCAAGGATAATTTCACAGGAATAATAACTTTCTTTATCCTCAAAACGGCATACAAAGATAAACGGCATAAAATGCTATACAGGACGTTTCATATTGAGCGTCCCAAACATAAAAAATCTCAAAATTCATAAATTTGCAAACGTAATAATCTTGAAACGCTTAAATTTGAAAATTTGCACCCATCAAAATTTCTACTAATTCAAAGATCTCTGCTCTTGACCGGCAATATAACAAGAGCCATTTAATCCAACTACCGCTAAAAATTAAGTTAAATAATCAAGTATCAACCAAATGACTAATTTTTATCTAAAACAAGCAACACGTTCGTCAACGCAGAAAATGTGCAAAGAAAAAAATTCAATAAAGCTGTACAGTAAAAGTGCGTAAAAAACAAAAAACTCACAAAAGCAGGCAGTCGATTGGAAATATCGATTTCGTGCTTACCTGCTAGTGACAAGTTGCGAATTGCTTCCCTGATTTTGCGGGGAATGAGTAAAGTCCCCTGTCGATGACCACCGCTTCGCCCTTCTTAAGCTGCTTTTAGGTGGCCCGTTTGATCTCGCTGTTGGCGATCTAGCGAATAATAGGATTGGCTATATAGGGAGCTCTTTACCTGCTTTGTAGAACCGACGTAATTGTGTCTTCGTTTAATTAAACGACCATTTCCTCCGGTCTTTTCAAACTATATAACCTCTTCAAATCCTTTGTCGGACATTTTAATGAGGTTTGGTAACAAAGTTATTTAGTTTCGGTGCGGTTAACTTTGTGTTAGCAGTTATTAACTTTACATGATGAAAATTATTTATTTTTATCGTTATTAGGGTTATTTAAGTTTAACTTTGTACAGTGATAAAATTATTTATTGAGTTTATAAAGATATTTAGCAAGTACTTTCAAGGTTAGGTTAGGTAGACCTAACTTAACTTTGACACGCCATTTTAGTTGTGTAACTACTCTGTAGATGGCAGTGTTCCCCGTTAATCATGGAGAATGTCCTACCTATGGTTGTTGCTTGTGGATGTAGATATTGTCATATATGAAGAGTGCTATATATGCTATACTGGTAGTTTCAATGAACTCTAATATATTACTTATATTATTGTGATGTACAATAGCACGTGGCATGCATTAGAAGCTACTCTTGTTACAAACAATATTGAACGTTTTTAAATTCACAAATGCTGGTGTAATAAATGATAAAACTGAAATTGCATTCTGGGAGATACAGCGAGTCACTTGATTATTAGCGTAACGAAAAGGTGAAATAATATATTCATTACATTTACTTCTGTTTTAGATTTCAGAATGAACAAATTCAATCACTATAACCTCTTTGTACATTGCCAATTCCACCGAAGCCCCATTCGCAGGGAATTATCGAGCGTTTACCGTAATAAACTATCTTCCCCTTCACTCGTGTCATCAATTTGAAATCAATTCAATACAGAAATAATCTTGCAACTCGCTCTACCTAAATTTCTACAAGTTCTATGACTAAAGTAGCACGTATTAAAATAGTAAAAAGCAGTAAATGGATTTGATATTAGTTTAATGTAAAGACATGTACCTGGCTACTGGCAGTGGTGTGACTCTAGGACCTGGCGATGGCACCGGGGAAACACTACTACTACTGGGACTGTCCGAGTGTAACGAACCCGTTGATTGGTAATGAACTGACCTTCTGAAAGTTAAATTAAATTTGTCTGAGCCGTTCCCGACCTCGATTGGTTTACAATATACACGGTGTGCCATTCGAAACGGGTCACCTAATTATCTTCCTTATCTTTTCTTCAACAAGTTACGCCATTTTGAAATATTTCAAGTTCTAACACCTTATGGATAATTCCTTCAATATTTTTTTTTTTTAATAAATCTTTTAATTATTTTCTAAAGAATTTTTGCACAAAATTTTTTTAAAGAATGTACTGTTTTTCTTTAAGTAGTATAGCAAAATGAAAGTGTTAATAAATTATTTAAAATATTATTGAAGACACTTTTGAGAACATCCATCCATCTGTCTTCTTTCCAGCCGCGCACGGTATTTCAGAATAAATTTATTATAAGAGCGTGTTCGTCAAAATAGTATAAATAGAAAGTTGAATCATATGGTTGTTAATGTCTTTAAATAATGAACTGAATTCTGAAACACCTATGAAGTTACCGAAACATCTATGAAGCTGACAAGTGTTAATTATATAGAAAGCTACATATACGAGGGGAGTCGTGTAAAGCGATTATGTGAATTTGCATAAAGATTTTGATGTATAGAATATACCTTTGAGGAAGTTGTGACGAATGTGTATAACTGACTGGTCTACGCGGACTGGAGAGCGAATCTCGTACATCTTGAGAAGACCCCGAGGACGAAGAGTTCCTCAGACACGAAGTACTCGTCTGACGTAGACGTATGTCTTTTTGGGCTACCGAATTTTGATTACCTGGTAACATATCGTCGGTAATTAAATATCAAATCCATTTTGGTGAGGTTTGGAGATTTGGGGATTTGGGGGTTTGGGGGTTTGAGGATTTGGGTATTTGGGGATTTGGAGACTTGGGGGTTTGGTCATTTGGGGATTTGGAGATTTGGGGGTTTGGTAATTTGGGGATTTGGAAATTTGAAGATTTGGAGATTTGTGGGTTTGGCAATTTGGTAATTTGGGGATTTGGGGGTTTGGTAATTTGGGGATTTGGAGATTTGGACACTTGGAGATTTGGGGATTTAGACACTTGGAGATTTGGGAGTTTGGCAATTTAGGGATTTGGACATTTGGGGATTTGGGGGTTTGCTAATTTGGAGATTTTGAGATTTGGGGATTTGAGGATTTGGGGATTTGGGGATTTGGAGATTTGGAGATTTGGGGGTTTGGTAATTTGGGGATTTGGAAATTTGAATATTTGGAGATTTGTGGGTTTGGTAATTTGGTAATTTGGGGATTTGGGGGTTTGGTAATTTGGAGATTTGGGGATTTAGACACTTGGAGATTTGGAAGTTTGGCAATTTAGGGATTTGGAGATTTGAGGGTTTGGTAATTTGGAGATCTGAGGATTTGGAGACTTAAAGATTTGGAGATTTGGGAATTTAGTAATTTGGAGATTCGAGGATTTTGAGTTTTAGGATTTGGAGTCTTGGAAATCTTGTTATTTAGAGTTTTGTGGATCTAGAGATTTGGAAATGTTTATATTTACAGATTTAAGGGTTTAGAAATTTGGAAATTCTTTTAATTCCCTGTCTTGAGAATATGATGTGAAGATTCAGAAGTTTGGATATGGGGATTTGATTTATATAATTGGGACTTGAGAAGCCATAACACCGCTCACACGAAGGATATACTCACTTCTAAGAGGTGCGTGTCCATTCCGTAAGGGCGAGGACACCATCCTCTCGCTTCTCCTTTCGTTCCTTTCATCCTCCCTCTTTTCTCGTCCTTCTAGTTGTGCAATTCGCCTAAGCGCATCCGCAAGAGTAGCTCGAAGACAAACTATCTCGTCCCTCTGCGCCAAAGATTGCCTCTCGAGATCTGCGACTCGGCCCAATAAGGATCCGGTCTCGCACTCCAGCATCTCGTCTGTAAATGGGAATCTCGGCTATATATCGAAACGTATTGATTTAGAAACTGTCAAGCTTCTTGGACTTTGTCCATCTCAAAATATATTCTTTCTATCAGAATTATAGTGAAGGTGTGATGTACCGTTGGATACATGGGCGTATCTCTCGCTATATTGCCGAAAACTGTTTATACGAGTTACAGCAATTTTCAGGTAGTGATTGATAAATATAACTATTGTGTAAGTATTCTATTAATATTTACGAGCCTCAAGTGTCATAATGAAATTATAAAATGGCCTAAATCTTATTGTGATACTCACGCCACGCCTGCTCCGCTTCATCGATGGTGTCCATCGTATCCGGCGTGGACATTGTGATTAACCCCTCGCGATGACCCCGACGTATTAATACGTTATTCAATTGAACTGATTAACGAGCGCAAACAGTGCCAATGTACCGTCTCGAGGCATGTCTCCTCGATCAAGTAACTTTTCCTTCGCAACACGGCTCGTACACGTGAACGCTCTAATTAACACGTTCAATTCCTTTGTCTTTTACTTAATTTATCTTCCCGATAATTTACTCCGATGAGCCTTCTATAAACTCTTTCACTTCCTCATTGAAAGTACTACTTTTTACTGACATTCCTCCGGCTGGGCCGAAGTCGGATCCATTTCTTGCGATGCATTGCTAATTATCACCACCAAATTAATTGTGCTTCTTTTATACGTGCCTTAAACGGATTTTGTTACGCAATACTTGTGCAAATTTGGAGCCATTGTAATTTCAGCTCGAAAATTAATTATTCATACGTCGTTCAAAGGTGGATGTAAAAGGAACTGTAGATAATTTCGTGATAAAAAATTGTTAAACAGCAATTTACAGTACTCGTAAGAGTTTATTTATCGATTCTGATGCTTAATAATTCCCTATAACACAGAAAGCCACGCCCCCAGAGCCCCATAACCGACGCCCCGCCCTACAGCCCCGAAAACAGGGAATCATCGAGCGCCCACCCTACTGAAATTGCATTTCCTACCATTCAATTTCTTATTATCGTATTAATGCACCATAAAACAGTTGAAAACGACACAAACAGGATGCATAATTTTGAATATCTAATCACAAGATTCTATTGTACTAACGAAGCATTCATAAATGAAAAATGAAAGTTTCATTTAATAGAAACTTCACGGTAGAGTGCCTGTGCGTGGCACAATGCTCTGTATACAACAGTAAAACAGTTCTTTTGATCCTGCGATCTTGCTGAATATCCACTGTCAGTTTCAAGGTTTCAATGTGTGCAAGAAAGTTTTCTCATGAAACGAAGATTATTTTTGGTCTTACGTTTCACGATGAGAACATAGGTTTGCTGTAACAGGAAACCATTTTAAAAACGAGATTTTTACGAAGAGTCATTAAGTGGAACACTGTGTAGGATAATTAAATATTTTTACATTGACAATTGTATGTATATTTTTTTGTTAACGTAGAGTTTAGCCTATTTCTCAGAATTATTGTGGTAAAAGCGAGATGTTCGATTGTCGAGGTGAAAGCAATAATTTATACAAAAAGGTGTATTAATTCTGGTAGGCTCCTTTTATGATTTGTATTGTATTTTAGTTAATTATAAACAATGACTGATGATTCAATTTCAACAAAACTGTTTGCTCAATTTTTTTTGTTCAAACATTTATTTGTGACGATAATAGTAACTTTTTGTGGGGAATTCTAGTTTTAAAAGGAGCCTATATCAATTTGTTAGGTTATGTAGCATCTTGAATTCAAAGTGTAAAACCTGTTTGAGGTTCGTAGTAAAAAAAAATGTAGCCTTCGGTAGAATACCAAAAGGTATTTGAGATAATCACGTTGCATAAGAGTGTTTTGTTATATGGCGTAAACGCGGCTGAAAGAACGATGGCGAGGACGATTGACATCGTTTCTGGAAACTGTCTAGAAGGAGAATGAAAGGCGAATTTAATGAAAGTGAAACGTGCACGCAGCCGTTACAAATCGCGATAACCAATTCCAACGAGGCACACCATGCGACTCGGTTTCATGGTCGAAACACTAGGCCGGTGTCCAGGGACGTGGGTGAGGACCATTGGGCCCAGGACACAAGGTTAGAATAATTTTACACAGCTTTTGTACTTTGTATATTGCAGTAGATTATGTATTGACTTAAACAATTTTTATGAAGTTAACATAACCTCTGCACTTTACTTAAAGAATTTTTATTAAAATATAAAATTAACATAACTTCTATATCTTTCAGAAAACCTTTGTTAATATATAAAAGTAATTTAACGTAGTATAACCTGATTTAATTTGACCTAATTGAACCTGATGTAACTCAACGTAACTTAATTTAATGTAACCTAATTTGATTCAGTCTAATCCAACCTAACATTGTAACTATTCAAACCTAACCTAATGTTGACCAGTCTAATCCAACCTAACATTGTAACTATTCAAACCTAACCTAATGTTGAGAAGTCTAATCTAACCTAACCTTGTAACTACTTAAACCTAACCTAACGTTGACCAGTCTAATCTAACCTAACCTTGTAACTATTCAAACCTAACCTAACGTTGACCAGTCTAATCTAACCTAACCTTGTAACTATTCAAATCTAACCTAATGTTGACCAGTCTAATCCAACCTAACCTTGTAACTATTCTAGCCTAACCTAATGTTGACCACTCTAATCCAACCTAACCTTGTAACTATTCTAGCCTAACCTAATGTTGACCACTCTAATCCAACCTAACATTGTAACTATTCAAACCTAACCTAGTGTTGACCACTCTAATCCAACCTAACTTTACCAAACCTAATATAATTTAATCCAATGTAACCTAACCAGCTAAATTAACCCAACCAGCCAAACTAACCTAATCAAAATTAATAAAAAATTTAATACTATATTTAATATCTAACCTAAAATTGTATCTACTCTAACCTAATTTAATTCAACCTAATCTAACCTAACCTGAAATTTACAAAATTTCATGTGATATCCTTCAATCAGTTTCCCCAGTATAATAACATTGTTTAAAGATTAAAACCTGATAAAACTATTCAGTTTCCAAGGTGCGTTATCTTCCCGTTTCACAGCATATAAACACTATATCAACATTACGTAAGGAAATGTATCTCTCAGAGATACGAGAAAGCATTTAACGTTTTTTTTTCCTACACTCAGATAACAGCGGATGAAGCACAACGATTTCGGTTAAGAAAATCTTCAGCCCATTTATTTCCACGGTTGCGTTATCGCAACGTCGACAATCATAATTCTTTCTCACATGGAAACAAATAGTAGCTGGAAACAATTTCTGTGAATCGTACTGCAAATTCATAGGAAGATTGTACTTTCGAAAATATTCGCCATTTTTATTCGAACTCAAAATGGACTTGGTATCAATAATAATTATAGTATACAAGATTTTGTGTCTATAATAATTATAGTTTTATAATTATACATTATTGTGTCTATAATTATTATTGATACTTCAAGTATCAATTATCGATGTGAAAAATGCAAAGCAATGAAAAGTGTAATAATAACATTCCTCTAAATACTAGAGTAAATACTAGAGCGGGTGAATTAAATTTGATTTATAAAATTGATAAGATTGTTTAACAATAATAATCGTTTTGTAATAAGTATACAGAAGAAAATAATGAGAACTAGGGTTCCATTCTTCATGGGGGACGTACCTGTTTTATCTGATAGTAAACACATGGGTACCATTTTATTAAGAATCTCAATATCACAGCAGAACCAATCACCTCATCACACCAAGTCAAACCAAAAAGAATTGTCTCAGAAAATAAAACTAGCATCTCATAATCCTCAAAATGCCCCAAATACCTCAACATCTAAACCCAGCTCCACATTTGACAACCACCATCTCCAAAATCTGCACAAGCACCAAGAACAAAATCCATTTAAAATTCACCGGCTTATGAAAACCAATACAAACCAATTACCGTTACCACACGTCACCATTCAAATTTCGCGCCAAAACTCATCGCCGCATCAGCCCACAAAAAGCAATTGCCTCCACTTAAAAAAACCTAAACTTCACATATCTGAACAGTCCACGCACGCGTTAAAAAACCAACCACAATTTTTTTTAAATACAACCTACACGGCTGTCGATACGAAACTGGCCAAATAAACAAATCGCCGAGTTGGCACCCGTACGTGTCGGTTCGGTAGGGAAAAAAGTTGACGTAGTAAGAATCGCGTGACGATTTCGTTCGCGACACTGCGCCGTTTCGAAACGGAAGAGTCGGTTCGATCGGCTCGAACCGGGGGGCTTTGCACTTTCCCCGCGAGTTTTCCCTAGATTCATGGAAGGACGCTGATGCCGACGTTTCCTTTGTGAGAGCGTGTAACACGTGTGTTTCTCGTGCGGTCGCCCCGACGATACTGTCAGCTCGAGGTACAGCTGCTTAGGCGCGATCAATACGTTCTAGATACTCCAGATGATCCAGATGATACTCCGCTACGATACGAGAGCCATTGACTGGGGTCACCAGTGTCGGTACATGCTACACACGCGCGGAAAATGTTCCCCTTTTTTTCTTTACCTTTTTTTTTGCATTTTTTATGAGAGGAAATTCTGGGTAATTTGTACACTGCTGGGAAGAGTGGCAGGGGAGTAACTAGGTGGGGCACCGGAGGGGGTAAATGGAGTGGTGTTGGTCTGGTAGGTTATGGGGAAAGGTAGAGGTCTGGGGAAAATTGGGGAATTAATTTGGGAGTTTGGAAAGTTTAGTGGGAGGATTTGTGGAGGCAGACATTGGGAATTTAGGAAGTTAGAGATTTGAGAGCTTGGAAACTTGAGGATTTGGAAATTTAGGAATTGGGAAATTAGGAGTTGGGAAATTTGGTATTGGGGAATTGGAGAGTTGGGGAATTTAGGAATTGGGGAATTAGAAAGTTGGAAAATTTAGGATTTGGGGAATTAGAGAGTTGGGGAATTGGAGAGTTGGGAAATTAGATAGTTGGGAAATTAGACAGTTGGGGAATTAGAGAGTTGGGAAATTAGAGAGTTGGGGAATTGGAGAGTTGGGGAATTGGAGAGTTGGGAAATTAGAGAGTGGAGGAATTAGAGAGTTGGGAAATTAGAGAGTTGGGAAATTAGACAGTTGGGGAATTAGAGAGTTGGGAAATTAGAGAGTTGGGGAATTGGAGAGTTGGGGAATTGGAGAGTTGGGGAATTAGAGAGTTGGGGAATTAGAGAGTTGGAAAATTTAGGAATTGGGAAATTAGGGAGTTGGGAAATTAGACAGTTGGGGAATTAGAGAGTTGGGGAATTAGAGAGTTGAGGAATTAGAGAGTTGGGGAATTTAGGAATTGGGGAATTAGGCTACTGAGAAATTAGAAATTAGGAATTGGGGAATCAGAGAGTTAGGATTTTAGAAATTGGCTAATTAGGAGGTTGGAAAATTAATATATTAGGGAATTAGAGTATTGGGAAATTAGGAATTGGGAAATTAGAAATTACAAATCTTAGTCCTTTTAAAACTACATTTAAAAATTAAAAAATTGTAACTAGAATAATCTCAGACTTTCCTCCCAGCAATATAAGGAGCGTCATAATGGCAATATAAAGAGAGTCCAAGCAATCAAAGTTCTTTACAAAGCTCGAATAAAGTGTCGAACAGAAGGTGTTTTTTCTCCTTGTTTGAAACATTTATCAGGTAAATGGAAGCTAAACGATCAGAGTCATTTTCAGTGATGAGATTAGGCACGTCAATTTACCCTTTAGTATCGTCCTCAATGAACGAATCACATCCTGGATATTGGGCACACCCTAACGATTCTTCGAAATCGTTTTGTCCTATATCGTACGAGATGTTCTATTAACATTATTTCTGTTATGTCATCCTCCGGCACGATTCCAGCGGATGAAACAATCCGCAAAAGAAGGCCAAGCCAAGCGGAATGGTGAATCCTCGCCAAGTAATCATTCCGCGTACTAAATTGCACATTTTTAGCACAATTTGTTGCTTTATTGAGAAAAAGACTTACTCGTTTGTCGTATCTAACAATTTTACTGGAATTGTCTTGCGTTGTACTACCTCGCATTATATTGCCATTTGTGTAATCTTGCATTATATGATCGGGCGTTGTGTAGTCTCGCGTTATATCACCTTGCGTTGCATTTCTTTGCGATATATCTCCATGAGTTATATGGACTCGCGTTATATTGCATGCTATATAGTCTTTCATTATATCACCACGTGTTATACTAATCTGAGTTGTATCTCCACAAGTTATACACTCTCGCGTTATATCACCATGCGTTGCATTGCTTTGCGATATATATTCGTGAGTTATATAGTCTCGCGTTATATTGCATGTTGTATACTCTTCCATTATATCACCACGTGTTATAGTAACCTGAGTTGTATCTTCACAAGTTATACATTCTCGCGTTATATCGCCATGTGTTGCATTGCTTTGCGATATATATTCGCGAGTTATATAGTCTCGCGTTATATTGCATGTTGTATACTCTTCCATTATATCACCACGTGTTATAGTAACCTGAGTTGTATCTTCACAAGTTATACATTCTCGCGTTATATCACCGTGCGTTGCATTGCTTTGCGATATATATTCACGAGTTATATAGTCTCGCGTTATATCACATCCTGTAATTATACATCACATTCTATCAAGGTTGTATCAACACTTGATTAAGTGATCATAGAGATTCGTTATATCGCCGCTTGCTATATCACCCAATCTACAAGAATCTATTTCTCGACCATGAAATCCTACAACTATGCAATATAACAAACTAGGAACGAAATAAGAAACACATCAAAAAATAAAAAATTTATTTCTTCATCTGATCACTCATACAATGCGCTATACTTTGCTGTGCAAGTGTATCATAGTGCATAGAGCTGGACGTGATAGGTAACGAGTTGCTATGAAACTGCGGAGTCGTCGAAGAATCGATGGACGGCGGACTGGACGACACATGTTGAGAAACATGCGATATAATGCAAGGTGGCGGTGAAAAATTCCTGTTCGCTGCCTGCGTAGCGTGTCCATGCTGTTGTCGCACCAGTATCTCGTCCAGCACCATTAACACCTTCATTTTGAATTCACGCATCTCGTCGTCCGTCAGTCTATGAACATCCGGAAGTAAACTAATCAAAAACGACTTCCTGTAATCATCGGCCAGTGGGTTCTGCTGCGAACAGTTCGCACACATTTGATCGACGTCGCATGGTTTCACTCTTTTATTCTGCCTTCCGGCAAGTGGGTCATCTTTCTGGGCCGAAAGAAACACCTTCGTCGCATCCTCGTCCGTGTCTTCGTCGTGTTTCGTTTCTTCGATTATCGTTTCGACGGTCGGAGGTGACAGCTGGTTGCCGGAGATTCGCGTGTGAGACGCGGGTTTTACGAAAGGTAGCACGAATTGCATAACGTCGTGCAGATAGTACGGTTTCTTCTGTCTTGTGGACGAACCGCTTGCTGCGAGCTTCAAGCTCCGGACAAAACCGTTGCGGATGTTTTTCCATTTCTCTTTGCAGTCTGATACTGTGGAGAATTAACGGGGTTAATCGTGTGGAGTTGTTTGTGTGGTGGTTTTGGACTCTCGTTATATGGCCGATTGAGAGAGGTGTGCTCTGGGTACTGGTGGCGCCCTCACTGACGGATGTTTGGAAATTTTCTAATTTTTTTCATTTGAAGCTCTCAAGTTTGGGAATTTGGGGGTTTAGGAACTTGGGGTTTCAGAATTTTGGGGATTTGGGGTTTTAGGAATTTGGAGGCTTAGGGATTTGGGGGGTTAGGAATTGGGGGATTTGAAAATTTCGAGATTTAGAAATTTGGGGTTTCAGGAATTTAGGATTTTAGGAATTTGGGGTTTTTTGAAATCCCAAGTAGGGGATTTAAGGAGTTTGGGATTTAGGAAGTTGGGAATTTAGGAAGTTGGGGACTTAAGAAGTTGGGGATTTAGGAAGTTGGGAATTTAGGAAGTTGGAGATTTAGGAAGTTGGGGAATTAGGAAATTGGGAAGTTAGGAAAGTGGGGAATTAGAAAATTGGGGGATTAGGAAGTTGGGAAATTAGGAAGTTGGGGAATTAGGAAGTTGGGGATTTAGGAAGTTGGGAAATTAGGAAGTTGGAGATTTAGGAAGTTGGAAATTTAGGAAGTTGGGGATTTAGGAAATTGGGAATTTAGGAAGTTGGGAATTTAGGAAGTTGGGAATTCAGGAAGTTGGAGATTTAGAATAATGGGGATTTAGGAACTCAGGGTTTTAGTTACTTGGAATTTCAGGAATTTAGGGATTCAGCAACTTGAGCTTTCAGGAATCTGTTGTTTTAGTACTTCAGAGTTTTAAGAATATATAATTTTACGAATTTATGTACTCAAAAATTTGAAGCTAAAAGAATTCATAAATCCTTATATTATCAATTTCTAAATTTGAAACCCACAAAAAAATAATACTTACCAGACCATTTCATTTGTCTCGCAACTTCGTTCCAAGCTCTTTCTACAACATCTTTCCGCGAGTACTCCGACAGTGTCTGGTTATATAAGCATGGATATTGCTCGATTGTTTGAACAAACAATACCGCCTCACTCATAATTTGCACAGTTAAATTCCCAAAAACAATAAATGGCTACCGAAAGTCTGCTCAAATATCAGTATGGTGCGTGGTAAATATTGCAGCGCGGTAAGAGCGTCGCTACATAGAAACGTCGTACGCTTCTCTGCAGCGAGTCAAACAAAATGGACGCCCGTCCACGAAGCGTCAGCGTCGCAGTTTGGCACGTAGTCGTCGTGACGCCCGGCGTACCGACAGTGGCGCTGATCGTCAGGCGTACAATGTCGTTCGCGTTCCTCTCAAACATCTCCGCAATAAAAATAAAAAGACGCTTAACCCTTGCCCTATGATTCTCAGGTGCGTCAGAATCTAACGTGTTAACACTTTAAGTTATGATTGTCCAGCCGGTTGTGTCATGCATAAATAATTACTGTCACAACGTGATGAATAAAGAAAATTTAAAAGATAGACACGTTTTGCATTCGACCGTTGATTATGAAGATTCTAATTAGAATTGAAGGCAAAGTTCGATTGGGATGAAGTGGGTCTAGATGTGGGTTGCGTATGAGCTGTAGGGTGCGTCACGACAGTGACAGGGTACTGCCAGGGGGTTCAAGTAGATAAAGAAAGTTGAAATCCTGTCGTGTCAATTTGGTATGACTTGCAAATAATTGGGGAACTCCATCCAAATTGAAGCGTGTTCGAGTAAAATTGATTAGGGTGCGTCATGAGTGCGTCGGGAGTGCATCACAAGTCGGACTTGTGAAAATATAGTTAGGTTTTAATCTGTGTATCGTTTATAAAATGGACGTTTGAGGTCTCCCTAGACATTTCCACCAAATTCCACCACTTTCTATTTTATAAAACCTTCAAGGTCCTTTCAGTTCTCACTAGGCCTTTCTTAGGTCCTCATCAAGTCTTCCTTTGCCCTAATTTGTCCTAAAGTTCATCTTCAACCTTCTAAAGTTCAACCTTCTCAGGTCCCCCTTAAATTATCCTTAAAATTCTTCCTAAATTACATTAACCGAAATTAAATAAATAGTGGCAATAATTAAATAATGACATGTATCTATATGGTAAAAATTATTAATAATACCGCAAAGTCCCATATAATTCAGAAAACAAGTTCTTTTTTAAGCACCACAGTTCCTCAGCCGTTAGATGGCCAATGATATATTTAGAGAGGGTATATTTTCCACCACGTATATATAATATGTGGATGCTGTCTAATTATACACGCAACGTTATTAATAACCGGCAAAGGTTACGAAACGATAAGTGCGTCCTTGCTTTCCGTTTCTTTCTTCTATCAATACCTTATCGAAGGCAGATAGTTTGCTTTGCATACTTTTAGTGCTTAGTTACAAAATATTATTCAACTGTTTCGTTTATAAATAATTTGCGTTTCGATTAGTTCTATCAATATTTTTATGGACTTTAGAGATATGATTCACGAATCCAGGAATGTAAGAATATGAGTCTTGAAAGGTAGAAATTTAATAGCACAAATCCCACGAATCCTTGTAGTTTTTAAGTTTCCTAATCAAGCGTAAAATTGCGTTAGTTCAGTTATTTAAATAAAAACGTCTTTCGATAAACGTATAGTGGTAGAGCACTTATACATATGTTGTATACATCGCTGAGTCGAACGCACGTGCTCGCGTTACGAAGGTAGAGAATAGAAAAAAACGTGATCGTGGAATGCCGACCACCTGACAATCGCGCATGCGCTGTGGCGTTAGTGCAGCGGCGCCAAATTTAAATTCAGCAAACGGTCTTGCAACGAAAAATAAACTTGTTCGATAAATAAAAATCATATACAATTTACAATATCTATCTCTTTAAGATTTTTGTAATTCATATGAACTTACAAATTTTGAAACGTTTATCGATAATTATTATAAAATTATTAATAAGAGTGGTTGATTGATAAGTTCCAAAACAATGAAAACTTTGATAAATCTATCTGGCAGCAGATTAAAAGGAATGAAGCCACGTAAATATTTCAATAAAATTTTTCAGGCGGAACGTTGGTATTTCGCGAGATTCCATCGGGGACCGTTACACGAGTTTCGCGTCGAGTGGAAAGCCAAATGGAGGATCGATATTAAATGAAAGAACAGGATGAGCACGGCGCACCTTCGCAACACGTCACCATGGCACCTTGAATGGCTTATATAACAAGTGCCACCGGCCACAGCTTCTATTCTTTCCATTTACGACGCGCATTCGATCCGCCGGCAAAGCGTTCACGTGACGCCATTCGGAATCGTTGAAATTTACGAATGGCAAAGTTACGACCCGTGCTTCCTCCGAATCCTATGAATTCTAAAGTTACGATTGCCATTCCGGGATATCTCCTGCTATTTTTAGCTCTCGACACTCTTTCTACGGAATTGCCTCGATATATTGCATATCCGATTTCGGATACTGCGTACAGGATGATTAAACTTATCTTTTGTCAAAATACGGGTTTCAACAGTGATGAGAAACTGTTGCAAAGTTTTCAGGTGTACTTTATGTTACCTCTCGTTATATTGCCGGTACATCACCACCTGTTACCACCACTATTTTCTATTACATCATAGTGTTATGATATGACGTATAATCTCTATGTATCTTTGTCCACCAGATAAGTTTCTATAGATAAATAATTTTATCAGAAATAAAACTTACCCATTTCTTGCTTCGCACCGTGTGTCGAGTGCCCGTTTACGTGCATCGTCGAATTAGAGTTTTTATTTTCATGCTGATCTTGTACCTTCGTTGTAAACTACGTCCCTGAAAATATAAAGACAACATTTTTTAGCATCGATCATTTCTCCACATTTAACGTTAATAAATTATAAAATTATCCTTTAACATTTTTAAATAACCAAACTCATTCTAACTCCTATCTACCATATATATTGCAAGTATAATAAGTGTTTATGTCTTATTAAAATCTTCATAAGCCCACCATTTTGTATCATCAACTGTTCATATAAATTTTTAATTAACAATAAGAGAAACATTCACAATGCTGCATATATCTATGACTTTACATATTCCACCATATTGGTTCCGCCATATTGGTCCACCATATTTCCACTTTTTGGCGGGAAAACCCCTCAAAAGCCTACAGTACTATTTTATCGAACATAACCTTGATCACGTTTGTTCTCGTGACCCGCTGCACAGGTACATTTATTTATAGCCAAACTAAACAGGGTACTCAACAGGTGCACTAATTTATGGAGGCCCCAAAAGCCTCCTACGCATTTCACCTCTAAAGTCGTCTGTGGCACAAGCAGCATAACAAAAGAAATTCTGAACATCACAAACACTACAGCTGCACCGAATAGAATTTTTATAGTCAAAATGAAAGATCGAGAGTCCTTCTACCAACGCAAGTATTCCGCTTGAATCGGCGATCGCTGAAAGTGTGCATATACGAGAGACGCGGAACGAGGTGAAACACAAAACCAGTAAGCATTGACCTGGCCAGAATGCTGCCTTATTGGTGCATAAGGCTGGCCCCCACGAAGCTTATTTTACGATATCGCCACTGACTCGATGCACACACGTCTTTCCCCACGTTCCTGCCTTATATGTATCAAACGTGACGCGGATAATTGGTTCAACGTTTGTAAGCAACCTCGATATCGAGACATAACCTATCGCTCCTGTTCTAGTAGGCTATGTATTTTTAATTACTGGTATAATATTGATATGTGGTGGTTAGCAATTTATTCTTGCCATTTCACTTTATGTATTAGCCTTGTTATATATGTAGGCGGCTATATAAGAGGCGTGATGTTTTGGGGGAAAGATGTGAGAATTTGGGAATTTGAGATTTTGGGGATTTTGAAATTTTAGGGATTTCAGGAATTGGAAACATAGGAATACGGAGATTAGGAATTGGGGTATTGGGGAATTGGGGGAATGGGGAATTGGGAAATGTGGGAATTGGGGAATTTGGGAAGGTGGGAATTGGGGTATTGGGGGATTTGGGAATTGGGGGATTGGGGAATTGCGGGATTTGGGAATTGGGGGATTTGGGAATTGGGGGATTTGGGAATTGGTGGCTTTGGAAATTGGGGATTTGGGAATTGGGAGATTTGGGAATTGGGAGATTTGGGACTTGGGGGATTTGAGAATTGG